GGAAGCTTCCCAACGGAGTGGAAATAATCTATCGGACAGATGGCAAGCTATTCAACCTCAGCAGACTGAAAGCCAAAACCAAGTTACAACAACAGCTGTTATAGAACTCCAGTATGCTGATGACAATGTCGTCTGTGCGCATTCAGAAGAAGATCTACAAGCCACTCCAAACACCTTCGCAGAAGCATATGAGAAGCTCGGCCTGTCACTGAACATTGAGAAAACCAAGGTGCTGTTCCAGCAGTCACCAGCCAATCCCTCTCCAATGCCAGGAATACAGCTTAATGGTGTAACATTAGAAAATGTGGATCATTTCCGCTACCTTGGCAGCCACCTCTCCACAAAAGTCAACATTGACACTGAAATACAACATCGCCTGAGCTCTGCAAGTGCAGCTATTTCCAAATGAAGCACAGAATGTTTGAGGACCGGGGCATCCGTAGGGATACCAAGGTGCTTGTTTATAAAGCTATTGTCCTCCCAACCCTGCTCTATGCCTGTGAGACGTGGACTGTCTACAGACGTCACATGCAGCTCCTGGAACGTTTCCATCAGCGTTGCCTCCGGAAAATCCTGCAAATCTCCTGGGAAGACAAGCGGACAAACGTCAGTGTGCTGGAAGAAGCAAAGACCACCAGCATTGAAGCGATGGTCCTCCAACATCAACTCCGCTGGGCCGGCCACGTTGTCCGGATGCCTGACCACCGTCTCCCAAAGCAGTTGCTCTACTCCGAACTTAAGAACGGAAAACGGAACGTTGGTGGACAGGAAAAGAGATTTAAAGATGGGCTCAAAACCAACCTTAAAAACTCTGGCATAGACATTGAGAACTGGGAAGCGCTGGCCCTTGAGCGCTCCAGCTGGAGGACAGCTGTGACCAGCAGTGCTGCAGAATTTGAGGAGGCACGAGTGGAGGGTGAAAGAGAGAAACGTGCCAGGAGGAAGGCGTCAAGCCAACCCCGACCGGGACCGCCTTCCACCTGGAAACCAATGCCCTCACTGCGGAAGAAGATGCAGAGCAAGAATAGGGCTCCACAGCCACATACGGACCCACAAGGAAATCCATAATGGAAGACCATCTTACTCGTCCAACGAGGGATCACCTAAGTAAGTAAGTATATCCCCCTAAATCCAGAAAGGATCTCAGCATGCCATCTCTTGTACAGCTAATCTTTCATATGGGTAGTGTATTTATAGAAAGTGCACTCACTCTCAATTTTAGAAAATGTCAGAAAAACATAGAAGTGGCAGAGGTCTCACAAATATATTGACCCTCAGACATTTTGAGCTTTTAGATCTCCCAACCAGCATTTATAAAGAAGTTGGCACATAAAAAACCATCTCTGACATATCTGATAATTCCTTCAGATATGGAAGGAACTATTTACTTCTGTGCAAATAGACATCACAAATAAAAATGTTGAAAATAAATATATCAAAATCAGGACAGGATAGAACAGGTCAAGACAATCATATGCAAAACTGGTGCTTTCTGCTCAAGGTTCCAGACTGAGATCACTAGCTTTTTATTGCTACTTATAACCTGCATTGCTGCTAATAGATGGTACCTGCTGTATTGATTGGGCTAAGGCAAGGTCCTTGTATTCATAATAGATTGGGTGAGATCTGTTGTTGAAGGCTTTCATGGCCTAAATCACTGGATTGCTGTGAATTTTCCCTGCTGTATATTTCACTTAGGCAATCCCTCGTAGCCTGAGGATGATAGCCCTCCAAGTGTAGTGTCTTGGTTGTGTGCAGACCTATTCTTGATCCTCAGAGGTTGCCTGCCATAGATGTGGATGAAACATTAGAAGAGAATGCTTCTGGAACATGGCCATACAGCCCGGAAAGGACAGCAACCCAGAAATCTAGAAAATCCAATTGCAAAGACTTTTACATTTTACAACCTTGTTTCTTTCTTCACTTGAACAAGGGTGTGTGTCTTCAAGTACTGGTAGTTAACAAGAAGAAAATCCAATACAAAGATCCTAGGCAAGCCCTGGCAACATTTTGATGGAACAAGCCACCTGTGATTCAACAGGCATCCACTTTAGATACTTATTGAAATAAGTAAAAGCCTAGAGAGTAATCTGTTTTGCTCACAGCATATTGGCTGTGAATGCAGTACTCTAGAGTTTAGAATGCCATCACCTTTCAAGACTTGTGGAAAAAACTTTCCCAAGTTGCTTAAAGAAACAGCTGTGTGATAAAAAGTACCGTGCTAGACAAAATAATGGGCATTTTGTTCATTCTTGTGATCACACCTTTCTTTAAATGAGATTTCTCACTTACCACTGAGGATGTCTGGAATGTGGAATAAAACCACTTCTCTATTGTTGCTATTTAATCCCCTTATATCATATGTTCATGCACTCATCATTTCTAGGAAATGATGAGAGCATCAAGATTGCTTAATATCTGTGTTGGAAGGTGACCTACTAGAAAAGCAACATATGGGGACCATATTATATGAAAGTTAGATCCTCACAACACATACCTGCTCATTTCTGCCTAGCTGTTCATATTGTATCCATTAAGATGTAATCATTCCTTTTACTAACAAAATGAGTATGCAGGGTTGAAAGGGTACCTCAAGCAGGACTAGGTGGATGGAAGACAGAGAAAAAAAAGGGATACTAGACTTGGTATTTCTAGGTGTAAGATGCAGACTGCAGCAAGGAAATCAGAAGACATTTACTTCTTGGGAGAAGAGCAATGACCAATCTCGATAAAATTGTGAAGAGTAGAAACATCACACTGGCAATGAAGATCCACATAGTTAAAGCAATGGTATTCCCCGCAGTAACCTATGGATGTGAGAGCTGGACCATAACAAAGTCTGAGCGAAGGAAGATGGATGCTTTTGAACTGTGGTGTTGAAGATAAATTCTGAGAGTGCCTTGGACCGCAAGAAGATCCAACCAGTCCATACTCCAGGAGATAATGCCCGGCTGCTCACTGGAGGGAAGGGTATTAAAGGCAAAGATGAAGTACTTTGGCCACATGATGAGAAGACAGGAAAGCTTGGAGAAGATAATGATGCTGAGGGAAATGGAAGGAAAAAAGAAGAGGGGCCAACCAAGGGCAAGATTTATTTATTTACTGTATTTGTATACCGTCTTTCTCAGCCTGTCGGCGACTCAAGGCAGTTTACAAGCAACAAGTCAATACACATAATATCAAGATATAAATGAAAACATTAAAAACAATATAAAACCACAACAGAAACAATAAAACCAACATCAATAGCGTCTCCTTGTTAAAACATTGTCCCATTCCATCATCTAGTCATTCCATTTCCTATGTCAGTTACTCTGCATTTTTAAATGCCTGCTCAAACAACCATGTCTTAACTTTTCCCCAAAATGTTAAGAGGGAGGGAACCAATCTGATATCCCTAGGGAGAGCGTTCCATAGCTGAGGGGCCACCACTGAGAAGGCCCTGTCTCTCATCCCCGCCAAATGTACTTATGATGAAGGTGGGATCTAGAGCAGGGCCTCCCCAGATGATCTTAAGGTCCTAGATGGTTCATAAGGGGAGATACATTCGCAAGATGGATGGATGGTATCCTTTAAGTGACTGGCTTGACCTTGAAGGAACTGGGGGTGGCCACGGCTGACAGGGAGCTCTGGCGTAGGCTGGTCCATGAGGTCACGAAGAGTCGGAAGTGACTGAATGAATAAACAACAAAAGGCTATGCAAAGAAATTCTTGTACTGTTGTTATTCTTTTCTTCTTCTTCTTCTTTTTTTTTGAAAAACTTCTATTTTTGAAGCACCTTGCTTATTCCTGGACCTAATGAAGTAGGAACTCCAAATAGTCTGGATAGCAATTCCCATAGGCCTCCAACAGCATGACCAATCATGAGTCATTCTGGCACATTTTCTAATTCAGTAACAAAGGCTGTTACTGAGTTAGAAAAACCTTAGAAACAGAATCATGTGCTTTATTTTGCTCCAAATATCATTGTTGGGTTTTGAGTTACTTGAACTTAGGGGATGAATATGTCTGGAGCATCATTCCCTGAGGACAAAAACAAGTGGTTTCAGTTTGGGGCCAAGTATAGGGAGGGAAATGTCAAACATACCCTTCTACTGTCAAATCCAAGACTGGAAGAGTAGAGTTGGACTGCTGCAGCCAAACAAAATTCCTCAGAGAGAAATACAGTCATGTGATCATGACAGCCTCCAGAAGCAGCTCAATGGAGAAGGTCATATCTCACTTGGAGGGATACATCCTTCACACGCAGATGGTCCCAAGCATCCCATCTGCTACCCCAAGGCCGAAACTGGAGACACTGCCATTTAAATGAAATAATCCTGGGCTCTGTCTCAGCTGAAGGCAGCTTTCTCTGTTTCTGTGAAGTTGTGCTTTTCCCTTCACAAGACAATTTGTTGCATCATCTAACATTACTAGTTTTAACTTCAAACAGGGAAAATTGGCACTCCCCTTGAATAAGGAAATGCTGATAATGTGTGTTGACAATGATTGCACAAACAATTTATGACTCCTCAGTCAGATCAGTATTTTAAGAACCGAACATAACAATTGAGCAGGAATAGTGTATAACTAATCTGAACCAGATTTTTTAAAAATATAGTGTATTATGATATAAGTAACTCAAACTGAAATTCCATCATTAGGAGGCGGTGAGGCTTATGAATGAAGTGAAAGAAAGGCTAGAAGAAGAAGAAAACATATGCCAGGGATCACTGAAGAATCTATGGGATGAATGCAAATCTTGTCTAGAAAGCAACTGTATGAGGTTTTATACTACCTGTCGTCATGGTCTCTCCACATTTACAAGGAAGGTAAGGTTTGTGTGCTGTGCAGAGTGGGGTAGCAAAGCTGCATGATTGCCTTTTGCTCAGTATATTGTATAATTTATGAAAGCATAGAAAATGGGTAGATTTTACTACCTCACATTGTTTAAAAATTAAAATAAATAATATCTTGAAAAAGGGAGCTAAGCAGGGTTTCCAGTTATCAGATTTTGGTGCTATACAGAAGTCATTTTTAAGATCTTTCCTTTGATTCAAAGGAACAGATTGTTATGTAAGTAGGTATATGCCAACTAGCTTGGATCAGTCATAGCTACAGATTACACAACTTTCTTCAATGCTGCAAAGTTGACTATAAAGATAAATGAATGACACAATTAGGTTGAAATACTCCTCTCAGGATGCATCTACATTGTAAAATTAAATGCATCATGTTGCCACTTTAACTGACATGGCTTAATGTTCTGGAATCTTGGAAACTCTAATTTGGTGAGGCACAAGCATTCTTTGGTAGCTAAAGGCTTTGAAAACTACAACTCCCATGATTCCACAACATTGAGTCATGGCAGTTAAAGTGGTGTCAAACTACATTAATTCTACAGTATAGATGCAGCTTCAAGCCACATTCCTTAAAATAGGCATCAGGACTCAGTGAGGCTTCTCCCATTTATATGTGCATATGATCTAGTTATAAACAACCAGAATTAGAGTAACATATCTATATTGGACAGGATTGTTAGCCATTATTAGCCATTATTAATACACATTGCCTTAAATCCTTTTTTAGTCCTGACTAGAATAGATCCACAAAAACCTTAGTGTTGACTTATTTTTAACAATTTATGCAATGGGTCTACTTTAGTTAGACTAAGGATCCTAGCCATGTTTTTTAAAAACTTGTGTAGCATAGTAGAAATATTTCATTGTTATGCAGTAGACCTAATGTACTGGATTACTTCTGAGGGCAACTGAGACCTTCCAGATGTTGTTACACTGTGACTCCCAGCATATCCCAACACTGACTAAGCTGACTAAGGCTGATGGAGATGTTCAGTACAACAACATCTGGAGCTGTCCATACCTGTATCAGAATATATTTCAAAGGATAGCAACCTAGAGCTCTTCGGGTGCTTTATACTAGCCATAACCTCCTGTCAGCATGGCAAAAGATCAGAAGTTGTGGGAATGGTAGTCCAAAACCTCTAAAGGCATCAGGTTGTCTATTCCTAAAAATTGTGATGTATTTATATGAGAATTAATCTGAAGCAGCCATTTGTGGAAAATTCAAAGAATTGCATTTGCCTGATTTGTTGATGGCTAACACTTTCTTTCCTGTGCACAGATTGAAGATTTTTTCAGGAAAATGACTCCATTATCCCTTCCTATGTATGAGCTTCAAGAGAAAGATCTTCCAAAGAAGGAAGATGTCCATATTGCACAAATGGAAAACCTGTTTAACCAGCTGTTATCTGACATGGGCATCATCTTTGAAAAAAGTTTTGTCTTCTTCAAGCAGATGCAAAAAGAATTTGACCAGTCTTTCCAAATGTATTTCATGTCTGATCCAGATGTGATAGAGCCCTATTATTTGCCAGCCTTTCCTGAAGAGTCTTCAAGAAACACAGGCTCCCCCAAAGACTGGGAGGCACCGGGATTCTTGCAACTGGTTTTTGACTTCAGTAAAACCATTTTGGAAGGTGTTGGTGAAGTGATAACTGAGGCATTTGATGAATACCAAGAAAGTGCAAGAGAGTTGGTGGAGCAAATTAAAGGCAAGTTGTTGAATCGATATAACTCAGATTCTTATGTTTGCTTTGAGATTTCAGCTACCCAATATTATATTGAACTCAAAGCTGCTGACATTCTCATTCATGCAGCAAATTTTATATGTGTCAATAATGGTCTGTGTATTCTCTGTGTCACTCTAGATTCCAACAAAAGTGGAATGTTCTCTAGGAACATACCAGGCCATGAGAGAACTCCATGCAGTCAGCTACGTCAGAACTTATCAGGATGCCCTCAGTTCCAGGAAAGATGCCATGAATGTCAGGATGATCTTGTGAGAGGTAAATTGTCTTGTTCTATGCTGTAAATGTCTACACAGCAGCGTTGTATAGTGGTTTAGGTGTGGGACTTGGAGACACCTCTTGGCCATGGAAACCCGCTAGGGGACCCTGGGCACTCACATGCTCTTGGTCTTAGAAAACCCTGTGATAGGATTGCCTTAGGGTCACTGTACATCTGAAATAATTTGCAGGCCAACGAGAACAAGAACATATCTATAGTCTCTATCACATTTTCTTGCAACATTAGAGAAATTGCATACATAATAATTTGGAGATGACGAAGAATTAAAGTGAAAGATTCCTTAAACCTTTCCTAAGTATTGTGTTTGGTTTTTGTTTTGTTTGTAAACTTTGTTTGCAATTACTCACACTGAGTCTTTGGAAGATTGTCTGTCTGCTTGCCCAAAGAGAGTTTGCATTGTTGAGGGGGGGGGGGGGGGGTAGCAAAATCTGTGTGTCCAACTGCTCAGACTGGTAAAGCTGTGACCCTACTTCTCAGGAAAATACATACATCTGCATTTTATACTAGGGTTGCTGTTAAATAAATACACCTATTGAAATGCTAGAAATTAGTATTATGCTGCATTCAAAGAAATGGAATTGATGGGTGAGCTACCTGATTTTTCAGAATCTCTTTCTACTCTGTTTCTTTAAACATAAGAAGAGGCCACTGAAATGGTCAAATTGCATCTGACATAAATGTTGCACCATTCACACTATTCTGAGAACTGTGAGCATGTGATCAGATTTGTCATCTCTCATCTGAAGAAGCTAAAAAGATGCATTGGAAGACTGAATTAGCTTGCTTTTATTTTTTCTTGGCTGATTTGAACTTTTAACAACCATTCTAATGTTCTTATCTGCTATTGCAGGTCTGGCAGAGGTCAGAGCCAAGGTGTAGGATTTTAGAGGACCTAGATCAGTGGTTCCAACCTGTAGTCCATTGACCACCAGCGGTCTGCAAAAACTAAAATATGGTCCGCAGCCTCACTGTTATGATACCATTGCAATGAGATCTTGCTAAACCCTCTTATAGTGCTGAGGCTTATTAAAGATGGTTTTCTATGGGCGACTACTGGATGGCATATATTCTGTATCAAAACTAGAGCTAATGTGGACTATCCAATGCAATTTTCTGAATCCACACCAAACCAAATCTAAAAGTGATTTGTAACTCTTTTGGTACTAATGTTGGAAAGTGGTCCTTGGTCACAGTAGTCTCTGGTTGAAGTGGTCCCTGGTCAAAAAAAGGTTGGGAACTACTGACCTAGATTCATGTCCAGCGCTATAAATTGTACTGATTGATGATAAAAATCATGTAGAAAGTGATAAGTATCATTATTACATATCTAGGCAACACTATTTTTTCTGGCTTTTGGATCTTCACTTATGATAAAGCCAGGGTTAATTGCAGCTGCATCTACACATATATGTCACGATACATAACAGAGCTTAGGTGCCTGGCCTTTGCTCTACCAAGACAGAAGAAAGAAGATTGTAGAACAATTATTATAACAGATACCAGTATGTTTGGTAGATTTCCACCATTCCAAGTGAATATCTTTTGACTGTAACACTCAGTGAGACAGTTCTGCTCAAGACACTCCAACTTCTTTCAGCGTTTACAGGTCCAACGTCACAATGTTTTTCCAGGGTAAGAAGGCATGGGGAGGATAGTTGGCCACAGGGAAAGGGAGGACTACTTAAAGAGAGTCTTCTAACTCTGCATCAGCAGAAGTTCTCCACTGGATCAGAACCGATTCACAAACAGAAGGAGACCTTCACCTTTTTAATCAAGAGCCATGAAGCCTGCTTCCAAACAAACAAACATATTCAGAGTTGTTCCCACTGGCAACTTTGTATCAATGGAAGGTGAAACTACTTGTATTTTAGTTCAAATGTGATGGATAAAGTTCAGCATCTTGGGTTCCTCCTTTAAAGTTTGAACTAAAATCAGAGTGAAGTCCTTACTCCATTGAGATAGAAGCACAAGCTTTTACCCACTGTATGAAAGAAAAACTGGATGAATAGTAGAATTTAAAGACACAACAATGTTGTCTGGAATGTCAGTATGCAAAGGGATCTCATAGCACCTTAGAGACGGAGATAACAAAGTTGGTCATACAAGCTTTTGTAGACTCATATGCATGAAGTGAAGTATATAGTACTCAAATAATATGTATATGATTTTTTCAATTGTTTCTAAGTTCATCAACAACTTCTGAATCTTTCTAAATAGTTCTGTTTCTTTTATTCTTGTACAGTTTGTCCCAATGTTCCTGAACTTCATATCAAGTACGATGATTCTTTTAAGTTGGTCAATATTTCTAATGAGCAGTATCAACAAATTCTCCAGATGGTCCAGCGTCATACAGAAGACACATCCTACTTGTTGAATAAAATGAAAGAAAGGTTTGGCTGGGTCTCTGAGTTATCCAACATGACCATTGGACCTGAAAACATTTTCAATATAGTCAAGGTAAATGCCATACATTAAAAATGCAAGGAACCACTGCACAATGATCTTTGTTCTCTCCATTTTGACTGACATTTACCACTTCAATATTACCTGAGGGAAATGTGTGGGCGTGTTATTTTTATTCTTTGAGAATACTAAGCTCTGGTTGAGGTAGACTTAAGTAGACCTGATAATCCCTTGATGATTTGAAACCCCAGAGCTTAGACACTAACGTACTCTAAATCCTTTTAGTGTGATGGGTAACTGACCTGAATCACCATCTGAAAGGAATGAAATGGCACTAATAGGTTTGAATGACTGCAGATTCCTTTTCCAGATGAAGACAATTCTGCAAGTAGCTGACATACACCTCTTTTTAGATCAATATAACAAAGTCAAAACTCAAAGCAAAGGCAGTATTATTAATCTATTGCACTTAAGATTGCAAGTCATGAATCTCTAAAGTCATTCTGAATCCCCCCCCCCATGGTTTCCATGTCAGTGGGATGGTGAATCCACTCCAGGTTTTAGCCTGATTTTTAAAGGGGGCATCCATGACTTTGTGTAGCTCCTTTAGAGTTTACACTATATCCGTGAGCAGATTTCACCATCCCAATAACACGGATGCCATCAGCCTCCACTGTGTTATTTACATTACGTAAGTAGAAAAATTATCCCAGTTTGCACTTCTACGCAAAAGGACACACTATTCTGTCATGTCAGGCCCATAGCCAGGATTTCGATTCGGAGGCTGAGTTTGTTTTGGGGGGGGGGGGCTGAGTCTGAGTGAAAGAGGGTCTACCCTAGCAAACCTTTTGTATTGTTACCCCAATACCCCCATGCATATGGGAAATATTGAGTATGGTGGTTAGATCATGATATGAATAAACATAACAGTTTAAATAATGCACCAGTAAGGCCTTTTTGCGAACCACCATGAGAATTTGGGGGGGGGGGGGCTGAAGCCCCTCAAGCCCCCCCCCCCGGCTACATGCCTGTGTCATGTTATCTATTTCATCTAGTACAGGCATGGGCAAACTTTCTGACTTGGGGGGCCGCATGATAGCACTCCCTCCTAGGAGGACTGGCTGCCTGGTGATGGAAGGGGAAAGGAAGGAAGGAGGAGAAGGAAGAAGAAGGAAGGAGGGACAAAGGGGAAGAAGGGAAGGAGAAAGAGGTAGAGAGGGGAGGAGGGAGAAAAGAGGGAAGGCAGGGGGAAAGGGAAGGAAGGAAAGATGAAAGGGTGGAAAGGAAGGAGAGAAGGAAGTTGGGGAAGGAAGGAAAAAGAGAAGGAAGAAAGGATGGAAGGGTGGAAGGGCAAATAGGGAGGGAGAAAGAGGAAGAGAGGAAATGAGAGAGGAAAGAGGAAAGGAAAGAAAGACAAAAGGGAAGGAAGGAAAGGGGGAAGGAAGGAAGGCAGGAAGGACAAAAGGGTGGAAGGAAGGGAGGGAGGGACAAAAAGGAAGAGAGGGTAGGAGGGAGGAAAGAGGGAAGGAAGGAAAGATAAAAGAGAAGGAAGGAGAAAGAGGAAGGGAGGAAAGGATGAAAGGGTGGAAGGTAAGGGAGGGAGGTAAGGGATGGAGGGAGGTAAAGGAGGGAGGTAAGGAAGGGGGGGAGTGAAGGAGGAAGGAAAGAGAGGATGGAAAGAGAAGGAAGGAAGGAAGGATAGGATGGTGAGAGAGAGGAGAGCCTGAGAAAAGAACCAAAGGGGCTGCATCCTGCCTCCAGGCCTGGGTTTGCCCATATCTGATCTAGTAGATTGTTATGGTGGGGGTTTTTTTTGGCAGTAATTGAAGGTGTTATTTTGCAAATGTAGCTTTTGATTATTTATAAAGGGATTGATAGTTTCTTTACCTATTAATCCTCTTGACCCACGCCAATATGTATTATTTTCAGGTATCATCAATTGCCAAAGGAAGTGAAAATTCCAGTCTGAATGAAACGGTGGTTGATGTGAATATTTTGACTTCACCTACTTTTACCATTAAGGTCCCCCAGGATCTAGACACCGAGAGTTCTGAATTCATTGAGTTTGTTGCTGGGAAAGCTTTACAACTTTACAAAAAAAATTTCTAGACGTGGAAAGCTGATTCTCTTCATGTTACGAATTAAAACATGTTAAACCATTGAATTTGACCACCTTTCTACACAGCTCTTAAGATAGATGTGATTTCCAGGCTTAAAATGTATAATGGACCTGTTTTCTGTCCCATCCCCTTCAACCAAATGTTGGCCTGCATTCCATGCCCAGTGAATTCACTTTGTCTCCTTTAAGCCATTCTAGGAGTTTATTCTCTCCTTAGAAGCTTTTTTTCTAACGTTTCCCCCCTTCTGTGTGATGCTGATTTGAATTCCTGCAAACTTTCAGCACCCTCAAGCATGTAGGTACCTTCCTTTTGTGTGTGGATCATGTTATTTAACTATGTGTAAATTCGCACCCACATGAATTCACCATGTTTGACAGTATTACAATATGTAAGAAAATGGTGTAAGAGCAGACCTGAAACTTAAGGTTAAGTCTCTGAAAGATGTGATAAACTTTCCTTACAATTTCTACCTTTATTTATTATACGTTGCCATATTAGGCATTAGTTTTGGAAACTTAATGTGCTTTGCTAAAGTCAGTATCCTGCAATGATGCTGAAAGATGTATTTATGTGGCATTGATACAGGTTGTATTGTATCCTTGCATTTAAAGTTTTGAAACGTCTTTTTTTAAAGCTCCTGTATCTGCATCGTTAATTGTGGTATTTATCTCTCTTTACAGCAGGCATGGGCAAACTTCAGCCCTCCTGGTGTTTTGGACTCCAACTCCCACAATTCCTAACAGCCTCAGGCCCTTTCCTTTTCCCCCCTCAGCCGCTTAAGCGGAGTTGGAGTCCAAAACACTTGGAGGGCTGAAGTTTGCCCATGCCTGCTATACAGGAATGTCTGGAAAAATGCAAACTACTGTATACCCAACAATTTTTCTTTAAAACAATATGCCAAAATGTAACTTTACAGAAAAGACAGCGAATAAAAAAAGGTTTATTAAGGTATAATATTATCATGCATGTAACTCCCCAAGAACCTTTCTAATTGTCTTTGACTAGAGGAACTGTCTTGGTAAAAACGAAAGAGGATGTCTACAAAGATATCAATGATGTATTTGAATCTGACTCTTCTTAGTGTTTGGCTTGTGTGTTCAAAAGAGGATGGAGGTGAGGGAAAGACACACACACAAATTAGTTCTTGGGAAATTTAGCCAACACAGTCATAGTAGAGAAATAACAAGAGATAGCATTTTTTCCACTAGTGGGTGCTCGAGCATGAATGTCTGGTGTAACTACCACAAGTAATACCTACAGTGAATGAGTTGAGCAAGGGCTAATGCCAGTCGAACTAAATTACTGGATCTGACAATTGAGTAAAGATGAAATTTGATTTCTGCAAGTGATAGACGTCAGGTCCTTGTGGAAAAATACAATTGGATACATCCCTTTATGTCAGACAAGGCAATGTTTGAATAAGGCATCAGTTCAGCTATTTTCAAGCTTGGACATGAGTCCTTGCAGAACTTGATATGTAGTTTCTCATGTTGATTCCAGCCAGTCTTGCTTGTCTGCCTCAGTTGTGCGAGCTGGTAATTTTGGTGACTTCTGGAGGACCATGGTCGGAACCCAGGGAACACATACATCTGAGTTCTGGTCATCATTTTACACCTAGCTATAGTCAGATAGTCCTTCTCTGGAGACTTTTAAGCAGAGGGTGAATGACCATCTGTCAGGAATGCTTTCATTTTATTTCCCTTCATGGCAAGGAGTTGGACTGGATGGCCCTTGTGGTTTCTTCCAACATTATAATTCTGATATTTTTTGTGATCGCTCCCACTTTTCACCAGCCACAGAATAGCCACGGGGCTGTGGGTTTGTGCAGGGTTATGGCCTGTATTTTCAAGCAATGTTACTAGTCCCAGAGATGGTATGTACAGGAATGGGCAAATTTCAGACCTCCAGGTGTTTTGGACTTCAACTCCCATAATTTCTCAAGTTTGCCCATGCCTGGTATATATCCAAACCAGGATATTAAACTCTGATAGTAAAATGCCAGCAAAAGAAGTATCATCTGCACAATTTATCTGCATGAATAGGGACTATCATTTACTGGAAAAGATTATTAAGTCTGGTGCAAAACTGTCCTCAAAGTATCATGCTTGTATTACTGTATAAATTATAATGTATTTTTCATTGAATGTACCTTATATGATTTCTACCTTAAATAGATTAATCAACTCTTTTTCTGAGTTTATTTGTAGTTTGAATAACTTAAGTAGAATAAATTCATTCAGAATTCAAGAAACTTTACTGTGTCCTATGTGTTCTGTTTCTTTGGTCAAATATTTTGAAAAGATGTCCCATATAAATAAAGCAAATACACTATACTCATCAGATAGGGACACATGTCATTGGAACACGGCTCTGAATCTCTGGAAGAAGACAACTTTGAAAGTTTTACTCAGCTGAGGACTGCATTTGAACATTTTTACACTGCAAGATACAATAGTCATCTGTTTCAAGCAGTAACATAGGAGGAAAACTATATGCAGTAGTTAGTATAATCTTAAAGCACATTTGCAAAAAGGAAAAAGAAAAGAGGAAGACAATACATACAATTATTATCAAATGTTTTTTGTTGCTGAACTCAAAACTGAACACAATAACATTGAAAAGTGATCACATAAATAAGAACGGAGATTATGAAACCCACCAGGCATTGTTATTTGTCAGGACTTTTATATTTAATATCTGTTTACTTTAGAATTGAGAATAATGAAGCATTCCAAATGTTGGTTTGCAAGTCCTTTCAGCTCTAGACAGAAAAGGAAGAGTGAGAATGCTGGGAGCGACAGTCCAGTAACATCTGGAGAGGTACATGATTCCCAGTACTGATCGCAATCTACACAAATGTAGGTTTTAATAATAATAATAATAATAATAATAATAATAATWATTATTATTATTATTATTATTATTATTATTATTATTATTTTGTATCCTGCCTCCATCTCCCCAAAGGAACTCGATGTGGCTTACATGGGGGCAAGCCTGATCAAGATAGTTAAAATATAACACAACAAAATTCCCCACTTCTGTCACAAACGTACTTGGCGGGGATGAGGGACAGGGCCTTCTCGGTGGTGGTCCCCCGCCTGTGAAATTCACTCCCCAGGGAAATTAGGTTATCCTCATCCCTCCTCTCCTTCAAAAAGAAGTTAAAAACCTGGATGTGGGACCAGGCGTTCGGGTAACTATGCAGACAATGACAATGACGATGACAATGGATATGGTAATGGACTATGGCTAAGCTTGATGGATCTCCAATCATGGAATTCAGCTAGATAACTGCCACCAGACTGGTATATGTTAGTAGATTTTAATTGTATTGACTTAATGTTTTAACTATTTATAATTACTGATTTTTAATGTATTTTTATATGTATATAGAGACATCAAATTGTTGCTGGCTGGAAGTCACCCTGAGCGCCCCCCCCCCKAAAAAAATATATTTGAAATAAATAAATAAATAAAAGTTGTGACATAATGGATTCAATTCAACAGTGTTTAGATCAGACATAGGCAAACTTGGGCCTTCCAGGTGTTTTGGACTTCAACTCCCACAATTCCTAACAGCCTCAGACTTAAGCAGTTGAGGGGGAAAATGAAGAGACCTGAGGCTGTTAGGAATTGAAGTCCAAAACACGTGGCGGGTCCAAGTTTGCCCATGTCTGATCTACGCAGTAGAAAGAATGCAGTTTGACACCACTTGAACTGCCAAGGCTCAGCGCTATGGCATCATGGGAGCTGTAGTTTGGTTTTTTTGGTCGTGTCAGGAGTGACTTGAAAAACTGCAAGTCGCTTCTGGTGTGAGAGAATTGGCTGTCTGCAAGGACGTTGCCCAGGGGACGCCTGGATGTTTTGATGTTTTACCACCCTTGTGGGAGGCTTCTCTCATGTCCTGGCATGGGGAGTTGGAGCTGATAGAGGGAGCTCATCCATGCTCTCCCTGTATTCGAACCTGCGACCTGTCGGGTCTTCAGTCCTGCTGGCACAAGGGTTTAACCCACTGCGCCACTGGGTGTGTGTCCAACATTTTGATAGAAAGGCTAAAGATGGAATCATGGAAGTTGTAGTTTTGATGGAAAGGCTAAAGATGGACTCGTGGAAGTTGTAGTTTTGATAGAAAGGCCAAAGATGGAATCATGGAAGTTGCAGTTTTGATGGAAAGGCTAAAGATGGACTCGTGGAAGTTGTAGTTTTGATGGAAAGGCTAAAGATGGACTCGTGGAAGTTGTAGTTTTGATAGAAAGGCTAAAGGTGGAATCATGGAAGTTGTAGTTTTGATGGAAAGGCTAAAGATGGACTCGTGGAAGTTGTAGTTTTGATAGAAAGGCCAAAGATGGAATCATGGAAGTTGTAGTTTTGATGGAAAGGCTAAAGATGGACTCGTGGAAGTTGTAGTTTTGACAGAAAAGCTAAAGATGGAATCATGGAAGTTGTAGTTTTGATGGAAAGGCTAAAGATGGACTCGTGGAAGTTGTAGTTTTGATAGAAAGGCTAAAGGTGGAATCATGGAAGTTGTAGTTTTGATGGAAAGGCTAAAGATGGAATCATGTAAGTTGTAGTTTTGATTGAAAGGCTAAAGATAGAATCATGGAAGTTGTAGTTTTCTTTGGCAGAGGCAAAAGACCTTGCAAAACTACAGCTCCCATGATTCCATAGCACAGAGTCATGGCTGTTATAGGGATGCCAAAAATGTATTAATCCTTCAATGTAATGGCATCCCAAAATGTGTAGTACTTTGGAATACTTGCAATTGTGTATAATGTTGGGGTGCATCTCAACACTGTAGTAGAGACAATGCAGTTTGGCAGAGAACTACAGCTCCCATGATTCTGCAGCATTTGGAAATGGTAGTTAAAACTGATGCGTTAATTTTGCCGCGGGAGATGCTGCACCCTGAGTGAAGAGCAGGAAGTAAAGGGAATGAAAGCCGCACGCGCCTCAGCCAATAGCAGCGCAGTATCGGCAGCAGTACCCGCCTGCCATTCTCTCCTATTGGTCGAGAGAGGAAAAGGGGGCGTGGTGAGGGCGCGAATTTGAAAGTTTTGTTTACTTGGCGGGAGACTTTCCCGGCTTCTTTCCCGCCTTTTTTTCTTCTTCCCCTTTTCAGTGTCGCCAGAATGCCCGCGGAGAGTACTGTGGGGCCGAGTCCTGGGCTTCCTCGGGAGGAATCTCTTCCTCCTCCTCCTCCTCCTCCTCCTCCACATGGGGAGCTTCAGTATCTGAACCAGATCCAGCAGATCCTGCGGCTCGGACACAAGAAGGAGGACCGGACTGGGACCGGGACCCTGTCGCTTTTCGGGATGCAAGCGCGGTACAGCCTCCGAGGTGAGGCCTCTCTCCCCCCCCCCCCTTTTGCTTTCTCTTCTGCAGCTTTTCATGCATTCATTCATTCCCCTCCCGCTTTCCACCTCAGAGTTTGGAAAACCTTTTCACTGTAGAAAGAATGCGGTCTGGTATCGCTTTAACTGCCGTGCCTCTGTGCTATGGAACCTTGCAGTTTTGCCAGGCCTTTGGGCTTTCTCAGTCAAAGAGAAACCTCACCAAACTACAACTCTCCATAGCTGTCAAACTACATTAATTCTATAATGTAAACACACCTAAGTAAAGGTTTCCTCTTGACATGAAGTCTCGTCGTGTCCGACTCAGGGGGTTGGTGCTCACCTCAATTTCTAAGCCAAAGAGCCGGAGTTGTCCATAGACACCTCCAAGGTCATGTGGCCGGCATGACAGCATGCAGTGGTACCTATTGATCTATTCAGATTTGCATGCTTTCCAACTGTTAGGTTGGCAGAAGCTGGGGCTAACAGCGGGAACTCACCCTGCTCCCCGAATTTGAACCGCCAGCAAGTTCAGCAGCTCAGCAGTTTAACCCACTGTGCCACCAGGGGCCCAATAAACACACTTAGATCTGAAAAAACAGTTGTTTGCACAGAAGTAGACTGAAATTATGACACCAATTTCTTTCTGTCAGGCCTTCTACACTGACATATAATCCAGATTATCAAAGCAGATAATCCAGATTATCAAAGCAGATAATCCACATTATCTGCATTATCCACATTATCTGCTTTGAACTGTATCATGACCACAGGCCTGTATAATTCAGATCAAAGCAGATAATCTGGATTTTATGTGACAGTGTGGATGGGACCTCTTGTCTCAAAAGTGCTACAAGATTCATGAATGGTTCTTCCCAGTTCTTCACTAAGGCCCCTTCTGCACTGCCATATAAAATCCAGATTATCTGCTTTGAACTGGATTATATGGCAGTGTAGTAGACTCCTATAATGCAGTTCAAAGTAGATAATGGAGACTGCCCGATTAGATAATCTGGATTCTGTGGCAGTGTAGAATGGGCCTATAGGAGAGGGGAAAGGGGCAAAATCTTATCCTATATTAACAGGGCTATGGCAGTAGCTTGCTTTTTGGTGGGCAGGGATGGCACTGGGGTGAAGGCCGCTGTCAAAGCAGAAGTTGGTCCTTTTTCCTGTTCAGGCTGTTAAGTTTCCACCAGTAACAGCCATTGCAGTTTGCAGGACATAGCATATTGCCGCCAATCAGATCCTTCTGGGTCGTCTTGCTGGGATGGAACTGGGAGGCACTGTTTACATGGCTCCGGTCCTTCCTGGAGAGCCATACCCAGAAGGTGGTGCTGGGGGATTCCTTTCTCAGCAAGAATTAATATGCAAGTGTTTTACAAGAGGATGCAGCAGTTTGCAGCTGAAAGTAGAGCAATTCATAGCCCTGCTTATAC